TATTTCCCAATATAATAAAAGAAAATATATTCAACATGTTTCTTTTTCTTTAATCAGTTGTAATAATTGCTTCTCATTTCTCTTGGCCAGACCTGTAGGTGGGCCACCCAATTTCAAAATCAGTGCCACTGGTGCAACCCAACACGGCAGGGGTAAGAAGTAACAAATTTAGCACTGACAGTTGAATAGCATCTCAACTGCCCATTTAACTGCTCCTGAATGGGGACAAAGAGGTTCAGATGATGGGGCTCTGCCCCTGCACTACCTCTTCATCACAACTATGGGGTTTAGCGTATATGGAGGGAGTCACTTGGCAACTGACATTAACCAGTAAAGAGAAAAAGGGGGATCGGAATACAATGAAACTATAAATGTGCTAGTTATCAATTTATTGCCTCTCATCCCCCACTTTTCCCTGTAAAGATGTCCTACCACAGCAGACAGAACTCCTTTAAGCATGTTCCCTCTACGGTGAACATGCTGCTAGGTCTTCTCAGTAGAGGGCACTGGAGGGACACTGCAGGGGAAAGTCCTCTCCTGTAGCTAGGAGCCCACGAGAGGGGTGCAGGGGTGTGAACGCCCGTCAGAGCTCTGCCCCAGCCACGCATCCAGAATATGTGATTCCTGGGCCCGGCCTGGTGATGACTGTTCTACAGCCCTCTGCACAGGGACACCAGCCTTCTGAGGGTCTCCGCCTGCACCCTGCCCTCCTGCTCACCCAAGCCTCTGCCCTCCTGGACACCCACACCCTTAACTGCTGACTGCCCGTGTCTCCCCTGCACTCCAGAGGCTGCTTCTTGCTTATCAAGAAACTACTGGGCAAAGCAGAAAACTTCTCTGCCATCCTGTGAGCTGAACTGCTCTTTCTCCCACAAGATCTGAGCCCCAGTCTTGGAGAGCAGACCGCCTTCCACCTTTGTCCTCCCTGGGTATTCTCCTTTAGCCCTGGGGAATGACACAGACTTTTCCTCCTATTTTATAGTCCTTATTTCTTATAATGTAACAGTTATTTACATTAAACATGCTCTCTGTGTAATCCACTGTGATTTCCATCATCTGAATGGACTCACATTGATTCAATGGCCAAGGTTAAGGTGTGGGATGTCCTGTGGGTGGTACTTTCCTGATTGGTCTACAAAATATAAGCATTATATTAAGAAATTAAGTAGTCTATATATTTGGAACCTAGACTACTAGATATTAAATGTTACTTACTAAAATATTAATACTTTCTTTAGATGTTTAAAATCGGATAAACTGATAAAGAATTGTTTACTATTAATAGGAGAGGATTTTATTTATTTATTTATTTATTTTTAGAGAGAGGGGAAGGGAGGGAGAAAGACAGGGAGAGAAACATTGATGTGTGAGAGAAACATCAATCGATTGCCTCCTGCAGGCCTCTAACGGAAGACCTGCCCGGCAACCCAGGCAAGTACCCTGACTGGGAATCGAACCAATGACACTTTGGTTCACGTGCCAGCACTCAAACCACTGAGCCACACCAGCCAGGGCAGGAGATGATTTTAGAAGAATGCATTCTAAAACCTATTTTTAAAAAAGAACACGTCTTGCTACTTGGATACTACTATTTCAATAATTAATGTCAAATAACTAAGAAAAACAGAGAGAGCTTACTGAATATTCTTGAGTACTCTCCAAAAGACTGATATATAAAAGTATTGAACTAAAAGTGCTTTCCCTGAAAAAACAAGCAGGAAAAAAATTCAGAACCAGCCCTCATAACAGACCAACATGTGTTAATTCCAGAGTGAAAACATTCAGTGGGTAGGCTGTGAGTAACATGCAGTAGTGGCTTTCTGAATGAGAGCAGAGCATCGTGGCTGGCCGAGTACAGCACAGCTCTTGTCCCTAGAGCCTGGGACCCCACTGCCTGGGAAGGAAACAATGCAGAGGGACAAGGAGGAAGAACCCAGGCCTGTAAAGCATGTGGAACAGAAAGGGCAGGATCAACCATTCTAGAAAAGAAATCCTGATTACATGTGAAGTTCTAGAAAAAATAGGGAGCAGCAATATAGGAGCAACGCATAAAATAAAACCTAAGACATTCAGCACAGAGATGGGAACTGTAGGAGCTTTATACCTATCTGGCTACATGGATAATTTATGACTGCAGCAGAGGCCTGTATGGTTTTAGCCTACTGGTTTATAAATGAGATTTGGTAATATGATAATGCTGATTTTCAAATGAGATTTCTATGGGTTTGATGGGTTTTTTAAATTATCACTTGAAAATATAAAGGAGAAAAGGTACCACTAGCACAAGAATGACCCCTGCAGAGAAACAAAGCCACAGGCCTTTGGGGGACAGGCTGTGCTGAAATACACTCCCAGGAACGCCAGCCCCCCAGCAAGGACGAAGCACGTGCAGGTGCAGTGTTCTGGTGTGTCTGCGCTAATCTAAGCAAACAAAACCATCCTGGGAATTGTCTCACTGTGCAGATGGCTGCCTCAGAGAGATCCCCAGCTGTTCTTGAAAGAGGCATACCAATTGTGGAATTTTTTAAGAATGTTGCTAATAAAGAACCACACAGGATTTCAGTGAATCCTTTGCACACTATGAACCTAAAATGTCAAGTGAGATCTTCTGATGGTTTCAAACGAAAAGAGTAACGATGCTTTTATTGTTTCTTTCTGGAATACAAGCAGGCCACAATGTATTTGAAATAAATATCTCTTAGAGTTCATTGATTAGCTAATAATTCAGAAAATCTATAGTTTTCCCATAAAAACCTCAAAGAATTACAAAATGATGAAAAGGCAGAAAGCATTTTCCTTTACAGTAAACATTTTATGAACCCACAGAGGAAAAAAAAAGAAGTATTCATGTATTATACTGCCTAAGGAACTAATTTCAAAACTATTCATTTTACTGCTTGGTGTATGTGATGTTTAATTTTATGTCTCAACTTAAAGGGTGCTTTTGGATGGAACTAACATTCAAACTGGTGAACCTAAATTGGTCAAGCACACGGTCCTCCATAATGTTGGTGGGTCTCACCCAATCAGTTGAGGGACTGATACAGAACAGGAAGACCAGCCCCTCTGAACAGGAGGCAGTTCTCCAGCACACTGACGTTGGCTCCATCTGCACCACTGGCTCTCCTGGGCCTCCAGTCTGCCAGCCCACACTACAGAGTTTGGACTTGCCAGTCTCCAGCACTGTGTGAGCCAACTGCTTATAACAAACCTCTTTCTATATATACACACACTCTATTGGTTCTGTGTCTCTGCAGAATCCTCACCAATACAGCAGGACTCATTTTACCTACAACTGTAATAAGATATTGCCATGGCAATATAATCGTATGTGTTCCACTTTAACTTCCATTCAAAATAGATTATAAATATAAATGTAAAACTTAAGAAGGGGAAGGAGCAAGACAAGGAACTTAAACAGAGGACTCATGGGCATGGAAATGGGGGGACAGGCTGCGGGAGTGGGGAGAGCAACGGGGGGAAATGTGGGACAACTGTAACTGAACAACAGTAAAATATAACATATCTGTATGAACACATGAGAGAACATCTTTATGACACTGGGTTATGGAAGCTCTTAAATGATACCTAAAGCATGGTTAAAAAAAACAAACGGATAAATTGGCCTTCATCAAAATTAAAAACTTCTGCTCTGCAAAAATACTGTTAGGAAAATGAGAAGGCAAGGTAAAGGACTACTATCCAGAATACATAAAGAACTCTCCAAACTCAATATATAAAAAAAGCAAGCCAATTAAAAATGGGCACATGATTTGAAAAGACACTTCACTGAAGAAGATGTACAGATAGCAAATCAAAACATTAAAACATGCTCAGCATCATTAGTCACTATGGAAATGCAAATTAAAAGCACAATAAGATATCGCTACACACGTACTCATTAGAATGACTCAAATTAAAAAGACTAACCATACCAGGTGCTAGCGAGGATGTGAAGGAACTAAAACACTCACACACTGCTTGAGGTCATGTAAAATGGTACAACCACTTGGGAAAATAGCTTGACAGTTTTTTTTATTTAAACACACAGCTACCACACGATCCAGATACTCTAATCCCAGGCATCCATGTACCCCACAATAAAGCAAGCACACATCCACACAAACATCTGTACATGAGCGCTCACTGCAGTTGTATTTGCAAGAGCCAAAAACTGGCAGGAACACAATGTCCATCAATAGGTGAATACATAAACACACTGGTAGACCTATACACGGTTAATAAAAACCAATAATAAACATGAACTATCCAATAATAAAAACCAGTGGATTGCTGATAAATGCAAAACATGGATGAACCTCAAAATAATTATGTTAAATAAAAGAAACCAGGCAAAAAAGTACATACTTGCAAGTCTCATAAAACTCCAGAACAACGCTCAGCAAGCTTTTTCTGTGGAAGGTCATATAATAAATATCTTAGGCTTTGTGAGACATAAGGTTTCTGTCACAAACACTAAACTCTGCCATCACAACACAAAAGCAGCCACTGATACATAAATGATGGAGTATTTTTGTGTTCTAGTAAAACTTAATTTACAAGATGGCAGGCAGCCAGATTTAGGTCACAGACCATAGTTTGCCAAACCCTTCTCTAGAAATTTAAAATTAATCAATAGCGACAGAAAGCAGGCTGGTGGTTGCAGATGGGGGTGGAGAAGAAAAAAAGGGGCACAAGGAGGCTGGAAGGTAGAAATTGCAAAGGGACACAAGACCTTTGGGAGTGATCGATATGTTCGTTATGTTGGCTGTGGTCACAGTTTCAGGTGAGTACATGTTACTGAACAAAAAACGGGTTCGGCTGCCTCTTGCCACAAAAGCCAAACTTGTGAGACAGATGCTGGTGTAAAGGAAAGGGGTTTTATTCAGGTGCTGCGTGGTCTGGGAGAATGGCGGACTCCCATCTCAAAGTCCATCTCCTCAGCAAAACCACGGAAGAGCCGGTGTCCAGAGTTCCTGCTCCATTGTAAAGCACCTTTGGTGCTCGCTTCGCAGCATGCGAACTAAAGCTGGAACGACACAGAGAAGCTTAGCATGGCCCCTGCACAAGGACGACACGCAAATTCGTGAAGGGTTCCATATTTTAGACACGTGGACAAAACCAAGGGGGAGGGAGGAGGGTTTGGAGGGAGTTGGGGGGAGGGGTGGGGAGAAAATACAACTGTAATTGAACAATAAAATAATTTTAAAAAATAAAAATAAAAAATAAAATAAAATCCCCTATATAAATAAATAAATAATAATCAAGTACCATCTCTTGATAAACGGACGTCCTTTGGAGCCTGCAGGCAGCTGCTAAGCGGGCCTCCGGGTAACTCAGCTTGTTCCGGACGGCCGTCTGTTTCAGGCTCCCTCCTAGAGCCTGTGTGTGCAGGCCACACAGCCGCGGGCCCTGCGGCTGCTGCAGAGCATGAACTACTGCAGAGCACGAACGGGTGCACCAGCAAACGCATCCCCGGATCAGCAAGGGAGTGCGAGGGGCCCCCTCCTGGAGGCCATGGGTTTGTTTTTAAGGATTTATACAGATGGAAGGGACTTTAGATGCCATCTCATCTAATGTTCCTGTTTTACAGATGAAGAAACAAAGGTCCAGAAAGGTAAAAGATCAATACCCACTTTTCTTGACACCAAAAAGAAGTCTCATGAAATCTGTATTAGTTTACTGTGGCTGCCATAACTACCAAAAAACAGGAATGTATTATTTCATAGTTCTGAAGGCCACAAGTCCAAAATCGAGGTGTCAACTGGGCATCCTCCCTCCAGAGGCTCTAGGGGAGAACCGCTCCTTGCCTCTTCAACTTCTAGTGACTCCAGGCTTCCTTGGCCTATGGCTACATAACTCCAATTTCTGCCTCTGTGTTTACATGGCCTTTCCTTCTTCTGTGTCTTCTCCTGTTCTGTTCTAAGACATCTGCCACTGGATTCAGAGCCCACCTGGATACAGGATGATCTCACCACCTGACCTGAACTACCTTCGAAGACCCTTTTTCCAAATAGGGTCACATTCATAGGTTCCAGGGGTTAGGACATGGACATACATCTTTGGAACCACCATTCAACCTAACAGAGACTCTAAAGAATCATCAATCAGTTAGAAATGAGTAATACCAGGTTCTCTGACTCTCTAGGATGGAGAAGGAGTGGGCAGGCAAAGATGGAACTAGATGACAAAAGCAGAAGAAGGGTCAGTACTGAGGGGAACTAGGGAAGAAAATAAGTGGCTGAAGACTGAGAAGACCGCTTTACAAGGATGAACTTTGAGATAAACTAACTGGCAGCTGTGCAAAAATATTTTATCACGCAAGATGCACATACATCTGCTTTTCATGACTAGTGAAATGTGGTTTTCTAGATATTTTAAACTCAGCTTCTTAGAAGGAAGTCCAGTTCCCAAAAGACTTATTTCATCGGGATGTCCCTGCAATCCTGCCAATAAAAAGTCCGGATGGCTTCTCGAAAGCCCTGCACTCAAGCATTCTGTCAGCGCCGACAGGGTATGCGGTTTACAGCTTGGCTTCTAAGTCGCTTCTACTTCAGAAAGATATGGGATCTCACAGGTAGTGAAAGGCATGAATTTAAGATTTGATGCAAAGCAACATACTTTTGTAGAAGATAAATCAGCTTTTGTGAACAATAAAACCAAAGACTTAAGTGAACTCTATGTAGGTTCTCCCTTTAGAAAAGTTAGATTTTGGTTTCCTGTTGTCTGGAATTCCTCCCAGTCCCAAGACTTTTGACAGATGTCACTGATGACGTTTGTATCGAGTACATGGTAGTCCCTTGAGGCTCATTTTGTGACAATATTCTAACTATAACAAGAAACTTGCTGAGTGAATTGTCACTTGGCAACAGACTCTCACTTCCGTGTTTCCTAGTAAGCATCCCTCTTCTCATCCTTGTTTTCTTTCATACTGTCTTTTAGACTTAAAGCACTGCCTTCTATTACCTAATAATTCCACTATTCACATGTTACTATGGAGCTTGTTTCTGCAAAGTTTTCAACAAATAATTTGTATCAGCATCCCAACAGGCTGAAAAATTACACTTATGGTATATATATTCAACCTATTCTCATCCAGTTTACTTTGACCATTTTAAAAATAATGAAATATTTGTCTTTCGTAAAGGCATAAAGAAAATCATAGTAAGTTCCCATGTACCCACCAATGAAATTAAAAACTAAAACTAGCAATGTAATTCAAGTCTATGCATTCATTCCCAATTTCATTTCCTTCTCCTCCCCACTCTCTCCCCCTGCTCCCCTCCACATCACTGCAATAGATAACCTCTATCTTGAATTCTTGCCTAATTTTTTATTATATCCTTGAATTTTATATGTCTAAGTAAAATATTTTTTGTACATTTTATACCACCAAACCAACTTTCACTATATAGTAATAAATAATAGTCAGGGTACTTAAAAAAAAGAATCCACAAATTAAAAAAAAAAACAACTTCCATGACATTATTTCAAACCTGAGTAATTTAACATGAGTTAGATTTTTAACATTTTTATTTCAAAATGACGGTCACCATTTGACATGCACAGAAATCCTATAGAGAACTGTGGGAAAAAATTAAGTAGCATCTCTAATATTTGCCTTCCTGTAGGAGCTTTTATCTAGACTAGAAAAAAAGATCTACAACACGTAGAAAGTTAAAATGAAAGACAAATGAGACTCCCAAAGAACTAACTGTGCCATACCTTTTTTGATAAAAATAGAAGTTAAAAAAATACAAGATTAGTTAAAGAGAGTATTCCTTTTCTTTGAAAACAGCTGAAAATAGCAGTATCTTGAATCTTGCCTCTCCCCAGTTTGTTCAGGAAGGAAAAGTTAGGAGAATCTTATCCAGTCGTAAAATAATGGACAAGCATAAAAGAGACCATAAATAACACCAGTAGAAACATTTAATGCATTAATCCATTCATTAGTCTTAGTAACCTTCTATTATAATTCATCACCAGATAGTGCCAAAAGGAAAATTCCATTTGTGACACATTAAAAAACCCACAGTGGACTATTACTATCAGAGTATAAAACAGTAATTAAGCCAACAAATATTTATTAAGCACTTCTTAAGTGCCAGGGGCAGAGCTATATGGGGCAGGGAATGGGGAGGTACAAAGCTTAATCCCTGGAATACAATAAACTCTGCCCTTAGAGCCAGAAGCTGATACAATTTAAATTAACAATTTAAATTTAAAATAATTTAAATTTCAAATAGTACTTCCTAAATTGATTACTGTAAGAAAATAACTGAATGAACACAAAAATAACTAAATATTACTGGATAAAGTGATTTTGCCTCTTGTTTTATTTATATATTGAGAAATATTAGGAGTACATTAAAAGGACTCAAGTAATTATTCAGATATCTGAATATACCCAGACTTGGAAATATCCAAGAAGAATCAGCAGCATTTTTCCTGACATTCTCTACCACATAAACATGGCCTTAGAGGCTGCATCTACAATGAATTAATGGAACAAAGAAGCTCAGTTATTAAAGGCCTTATAATTTTAAATGGTGGTAATATCTAGATTGTAATGATTACTTTAAAAACTCATCATCAGAAACCTGTCCTGAAATATTTCTTTTTTTAATCCTCACCCGAGGATAGGTCTTCCTGATTTTAGAGAGAGGAAGGGAGGAAGGGACGCAGGTGCCCTAACCACAGGAGCGCGCGCAGACCAGGGATCCAGCCTGCACCCTTTTGGTGAACAGGGATGATGCTCCAACCAACTGGACTGCTCGCCAGCGCTGTCCTGAAATATTTCAATTAAACTAGTTTAATGTTTATGAAAGCACCCAGCACCACATTCGCTAGATAGTGGGTTCCCAATAAAAGTTAAAACAACAGCAATTAACCCCCATTTAAGGAGCAATAAAGCTGGTGCACATTTGGAACTATAGAAGCAAACAGTTTTACTGACAAAAAAACTTGGAAATGATCTTGTATAACCCTTTGATTATATTTTATTTTAAATGTCTTTATTTGTTAATTTCTCTTTTATATTATTTTCTCCATCACCATTTATCCCCCCCACACCCTCTTCCACCTCCACTCACCCCCTTCCCCCCACAATCACCACACTGTTGTCCATGTCCGTGAGTTTTTTTTTCTTTTTTGCTCAATCCCTCACCCCTCAGCCCCCCAGAGCTGTCAACCTGCTGTTTATCTATGGGTATGTGTACTAACAAGCAAAATAGTGACAGGCTCAAACCCCTTAAGTTTAAAAAACAAGGAAACTGAGGCTGGATGACTTAGCCAGTTAGCACCAGACCTAGGATTAAAATCAAAGTCTCCTGACAAGAGACTACTGCTTTTGCAAATTCTTTTGAGCTAAAATTATGGAAGAAAAAATAGATGCACCGAAGTTTTCAATAAGAAGCCCTGGACGCCAAGGCAGAACGCCAAATTCTTACTCCAGCTCTCGCTAATTACTGTCCTAGGCAAGTCACCAAAATTCTCTGGGATTCAGTTTTTGTGGATAAAATGAGACGGTTAGACTGGATCAGTGATTCTCAATCTTTACTGTGCAGAGGATTCTTTGCTGTGCAGTAGACTCCTCTGAGTGGTTTTTACAAAACAGTAATGTGCAGGTCCTATCCCCCATGATTCTATTTTTAAGGGTTTGGGATGGTACCATGGCATCAATATTTTTTTAAAATTCTCCCAAGTTATTCCAATGTGAAACCAGGATTCAGATCCACTGGACTAAATAATATTTAAGGTACCCTTTATCATCTAAAATTCTAATTCATTTTTCCCTATTTTGGCTGTAGTCATCTCGCTCTGGGTTAACTAATAGGCAGATTAGACACAATAATTGTACATAAATCCAGAAGCAAAACTGTCCCCTTTAAGACTATGCAGGCATTAATGGTGTGTGTAGATTACCACAATCCCTGAGCATTTATTAAGGCCTGTTACGGAAAAGGAGTCTGCTCCATCTCTGATGTGTCCTTCTATATGGAGGGAGTTCCAATAGTATCAAACCACTGGCCTTCTATGCTTTTCCTCCTTCAATCCAAGGAGAGATAAAAATGGCTGATCAGTTGGCAAATGTGGAAGAAAAACTA